CAAGGGTTTTTATACTTTTCGGTATAGGAGGTGGAGTCAGGACACATGATAATTGGGATCACCTGACTGTAAGGCTAGTTTTGGGGTCAGGTGCACCTTTTCTCAGAATCAGAAGAAAGTCCTTGTGATAAACAATTCCAGGAAATACCACAGATACCCAAGCTCTTACAAGGAGGAGGTGGAGGTCAGGACACCATGTCCCTGCATTTTTAAAACATTTTTTAATTCATTAATTTTTTTAAATTGTATTTATTATTTTTATTTTATGTGTATGCGTGTGTTGCCTGCATGTAGGTAAGTGCACCCGTGTCATGCAATGCCCACAGAGGTCAGAAGAGGCTGTTGGATCCCCTGGGACTGGAGTTCCCAACAGTTATTAGCTGCCATGTGGATGCTGGGATTCAAACCCGGGTCTTCTGCAAGAACAACCAGTGTTCTTAACTGCTGAGCCATCTCTCCAGCCCCTTAATTCATTAATTTTTATGCTGTGTTTGAATGTTTTGCCTGTAGGTATATAAGTGCACAACATGCATGCAATGACCATGGAGGTCAAAAGAGGGTGTCAAATCCCCTGGAACTGGAGTTACAGACAGTTATTAGCTGCCATGCGGATGCTGGGAATTGACATGGGTCCTTCTACAAAATCAGCCAGTGCTCTTAACCACTGAGCCATCTCTTCAGCCCTAAACCCAGTTTTGAGTGCAGACAGCCTCCTCTATTCCTTCCTTCCCAGCTCCTTCTGCCTTCCTGCAGGCACTCAGGGAAACACTGCCATTGGTGTTTCCCATATGTTCTGGTCCCTGTGTCACTGATGTCCCTCTACTCCTCAGTATGGTCCTGTTGTTTCTTAATCCAGGATATTTACAACTCTTTTTCTTCTTCACCGTGGTCTTCAAAATCTGCTTGCTCGCTTTGTACCAACTGAAGTTTAAAATTTTCATCCCTGGTGTGCTGGATAGCTTTAGTGTCAACTTGACACACCTGGGTTGAGGGAACCTCAATTGGGTAATTGCCTCCATTTGGAATGGCCTATGGCCATGTCTGTGGGGCATTTTCTTGATTGTTGAGTGATGTGGGAGGGCCCAGCCCACTGTGGGTGGTGCCACCCCTGGGCAGGTGGGCCCATGTTGCATAAGAAAGCAGGCTGAGCAGGGTCCAGGGGAACAAGCCAGTAAGCAGTGTTCCTCCATGGCCTGTGCTCCAGCTCCTGCTTCCAGGTTCCTGCCCTGAGTTCCTATCTTGGGCTCCCTAATGAACTGCAACCTGGGAGATGTAAGCTGAATAAACCCTTTCCTCCCCAAGTTGGTAGTGTTTAGAGTGTTTTGTCACAGCAATGAAGAACAAACTAGGACAACTCCCATGAGGAAGGCAGCCTGTAGACCATCTGTAAGGCTCTCGGCTTGGGAGTGGAGGGAGTTCTTTCAGCCAAGATCCATGAGTCACTCCGGGAGACATATCCATACACCTGTATGCTCTATGCATGAGGACAAGGACTGCCCCCAACAGTGCCCCTGATTTCCTCTTCTGTATGTCACCCCAGGCTCTGCATGCAACACATGTCCCAAGAACTGGCTCAATTTTCAACAGAAGTGTTACTACTTTGGCAAAGGTTCCAAGCAGTGGATCCAAGCCAAATTCACCTGCAGTAACCTGAAAGGGCAGCTTGTCAGCATCCACAGCCAGGAGGAGCAGGTGGGTGAGCTGTGCAGACAGTAGGCAGCAGGGTGGGTGGGGTAGGAGGGTCAGATTCACCACCCTAGCTTTCTGGAATCGGTGGGAAGGACCCATACACATCTACCCCTAGGACTTTCTGACCAAACACATCAAGGAGGACTCCTGGATCGGCCTTCGGGATCTCTTTACTGAGGGAGAATTTGTATGGATGGATGACAGCCCGGTGGGCTATAGGTGAGAGGGGCCTTCTGGGAGATAAGTGAAGAGGTGGGAACACTGTGGTGGGAGCAGGCCCCTGGATGAGTCCGTTGGGGAGGGAGCCCTGGGGTCAAGGCTGCCATGAGGACAAACAAAATGCAAGGGTTGATGAATCAAGCCACAAGCACAGATTGGGAAGGTGGGTCTTGGACTGCAGAAAAACCTGTGCTGTGGAGGATGATGGGGGGAGGGGCTCAGACTCAGAGGTCTTGCAGAGATGGGGCACCCTCCCCATCCCATCTTTTTTTTTTCTTTGCTACAGCAACTGGAATCCTGGAGAGCCCAACAACGGGGGCCAGGGCGAGGACTGTGTGATGATGTGGGGATCTGGCCAATGGAACGATGCCTTCTGCCGCAGCTACCTGGAATCCTGGGTGTGCGAGCAACTGGCCACATGTGAACCATCTGCCCCCTTGGCCTCCATGAGCCCACTGAGTTCAGCAGAACCTGCTTCCTGACAGTCTTCTGCGTGCCCTCTTCTGGATCCCTCCCAGCACCTTGATCACAGGAAGAGCTGGGCCCTGAGAATCCCCAGTCAAGTGCTGCCCGCTCCTGCCACCTCCCCAGAGGGCATCCCTTGTTCCTCACCTGAACTGGCCATCCCCACTGCCCTCTACCTTCCCCAAACCAGAGCCCCAGCCAGGAGACAGGCTTCTTGCCTACTGGGATGCAGGCTGGCAGCAGAGCACCCAGGGAGCTGCAGAGAACACGGGTCTCTCACAGGGGACCCCCACAGACTTCTACAGCCCCCACCTCCTGTCAGGAGTTTCCTCAGCCTCCTCCCATCCTCAATACCACAAAACAGACTCCCACCTCCCTGAGCTCAGGGAGTGAGTTCTTCCTTGCCTTAGCTAAACAAGATTAAAGCAGAACCTGGTAATGTGTAAAGAGTCTCCTGCATGGTTCTGGTGTTGAAAGTGTGAAGGGGTCACAGAGAGCAGCTGAGGCTAGGCACTCTGAGAGGCCAGGAAAGGCCATAGGTGAAAGTGAAGTTTCAGTTGCAGTTAAGACTCCAGGATTGTAGAGGTCATGGAGAGAATTTTAAGCTTTGCACCCAGAGAGGGAAGAAGAAGCCATTGGTGAAGGTATAGCCTCAGTTTCAGTGGAGACCCCAATTTTTTGGAGATGCCAGGACCGTGGGATGACCACCAAGGACCACAGTAGGTGTGGCCTGGATCTGCGAGATGAGCCATGTGTGCTGTGGATGGCAGAGTCAGAGAAGTAGAGTTACCATAACTCTTTGGAGCCCAGAAGATCATGAGTGAATCCCAGGTGTTCAGCCTTGAGCTACTTTGCTGGACTTTGGTTTTGCTTAGGTGTGCCCGATTCTTCCCTTTGAAATAAGGCAGTACTTGTTTTGGATTTTACAGAAGCCCACCCACAGTTGAGACTTTTAAGTGTTAGAATTAAAAGAGACTATGGACTTTTAAGTGTTTGGATTTTTTCAGGACTGTGGGGTTTTTTAAGTTGTACTGTCTTATGTTGTGATATTGTTAACATCATATCTCAGGAACAAGAATTGGAAAGCTTATGGTTTAATAGTGATGTGTCTGTGTGTCAAGTTCACAAGGGGTCAATTGTGCTGGATAGCTTTAGTGTCAACTTGACACACCTGGGTTGAGGGAGCCTCAACTGGGGAATAGCCTCCATTTGGAATGGCCTGTGGCCATGTCTGTGGGGCATTTTCTTGATTGTTGAGTGATGTGGGAGGGCCCAGCCCACTGTGGGTGGTGCCACCCCTGGGCAGGTGGGCCCATGTTGCATAAGAAAGCAGGCTGAGCAGGGTCCAGGGGAACAAGCCAGTAAGCAGCATTCCTCCATGGCCTGTGCTCCAGCTCCTGCCTCCAGGTTCCTGCCCTGAGTTCC